GACGCAGGTACCATAGGAATGTACAGACACGTAAACAAACATTGCGGAGGGCGACAACAGCGGGAGAGGCTATGGTGCCAGCTCGCAGCCCGAGTGTCGAGCCCGCCCTCCGCTCTCGGCTAGCACGGCCTCAACCATACACCTCTGCCCAAGGGTCGTGATCGGGGGGAGTGTGCAGGTCGTGATTGGCGACGGCAGGCCACGCCCCTACTCCAGCACGACAGGTCAGAGGGGTCATGGAAGATTAACTTCAACATTAGTATCCTCATCCTCACTTCCCGAGTTTCCTGTTGACTATTAGTCTGTTGACGAAAGAGACTGTTGGCCTCCCCCTCGCTGGCCAAGGTTAAACACACGCACCTACACATACTCGTGAGGTCTAAGACTACGCTCATGAATCCTGTCTAAGAATCAGTACTCATCGAACTCCACATTCGCCAATAAACGTATTTACCTCAACTTATTGGCCCGATTCGCCTCCCGCACCAGTTTCCTCACCCTCATCTATATCACATCTACAAAAACAGCGCAACCATACCACATCCTTCCAAACGGTACGTCTATTACGTACTCAAGAAAAAAATCGAATCGCCCTGCGCACCATAACTCCAGCGCGCTCCTTGCTGACTTCATGACCCCGAGACCCCGCGCCGCATCGGGCTGAGGAGAAGCTGGAACATCGAACTTGCATCACCCGCATCCGATGGCCTGTCGATTCCGTTCCTTTGAGGAGACTTCATTCGGAAAAGGAACTTTCTCAGTGAGGATGGAAGATTTCATAGGGTTAATTTCAGTGCATTAAGGGAAGTCTATTTCATTTAGATATATGTAGAAAAAAATCAAAATAACTTCGGCATAAACAGACAGACAGAGGTAAAATTCTCATGGAAACAACTGAATTGACATTGATTTCTTAAATGGTCTATAATTGCCAAAGTCTACTTTTTCTACTGATAAAATTAGCAAAAAAAAAAAAAAAAAAAAAAAAAAAAAAAAAAAAAAAAAAAAAAAAAAAAAATCGAATTTCGCATCATTGTTTTAAAACATTCAATCAACTCATCACCTTAAAAACAAAACCAGTAAGGAAGTACCACTAAATCGCACCGTGTCGAAACGGACCAGAATCCTCATCAGGTGATATAAACGAGTCGGAAACGAATGAGCTATCTAGTTAGACTCGATTCATTGTTCCTCTCTCATTTGGTTGTACTCCACTTGAGCTTGTACTCGCGCTGTTGTGTTCATGTTTTTTGTTCACCATCATATAAATAAACAAAATTCATTTAGTTTTTTTCTGTTCCGTTTCTTATAACTTTGCCGGAAAAGGTTATTCAGGCGACCTTTCACCTCCAAGTCATCTTCAGGATCTCGCCGCCATTTATTTTTTGTAAGTACATTTTTTTCATTGACCTATTAAATCTTTTTGTGGCTTCTCATCCTACAAGATGACCTTATCAGGTTTCAAAGACCATGACAACCTTTCTTACCTACAAATCTCTCCTCTGTCTCTGTCTCTCTCTTCTCTCTCTCTCTCTCTCTCTTGCTCTCATTACAATCGGACATCCTAGAAGTCAACTTTTCTCTCCCTCTGAAGACCTGTATCAGCTGACCCGCCGCTTTTTAGCCTTTGACTAACTTTTCACGAAGGCTTATCTGCGCCACGGAAACTTTAAAGGTGCGAGTTGTATGGTTATTTCCCCTCCCTCCCTCCCTTCTTGGTTCCTCTTTCTTATTCCTCTTTCGGTTCCTTCCATAGAGGCCGGATTTAACATATGATAATCATGATGTAAAAAATCCGAAGATGAGAGAAAAAGAAAGAAAGAAAGAAAGAGAAACTGTTTTTTGAAGAAAGATATCTAAACAAAACAACTTTCCCATTCACTTTACGTCACCGAAAAATAAAATCCATGAGTGAGAGAGTTTCCCGAACGCACGAAGGTGAAGGGTGGCACTGCCCGCAACAGGAAAAGCCCGGTGCCGCAGCTCCGATCGCTCCGCCCGGTCGAGACGCCGGACACGCCAGGCACATCGCTGTCCGACTCAACGCTAAACTGACAAAATGAATTCGCCACAAGTTTTCTTTGGGATGCCAAAAGTTTAATCCAATTTAAGGTGATAACATAAAACCAAGTATAAGACAAACAGAATCACGAGGAAAAAGAAAAGAAAACAAAAATGAATGGAAAAAATACCAACAAAGTGAATAAGAAAGAAGTTGAAAAAAAGAAAGGCATAAAATCATAATGTAAATTTAGTTGCGGGCGAGACAGAATGAAGGGGACTGCGTCCGCCCTTTCCCTATTGTGTTTATGGCGAGGCGACGGCGGCGTCGGAAACCCGCTGCACCAACCGTCTGCCGCACCGCACGCAACGCCCAGAATTATTGCCCCTACAAACATTTATTGGAATCTACGTTGCTTTCTTGTGCTTTACGGAGCAATAAAGAGAATCTATGAGCCAAACTGTCCCAATTCATATGGGGCGCGGCGGAAAATACGAC